TCTTCAAACTGGTGAGTGAGATGGGGTCAGTCTACGCCCTTACGTTTTAATACTTCTAATACTTGAGTAATTTACTTAAACACTTAACTTTGACTAGTGAAAGTTGTTTGTACTTCCAATCTTAAAATCTTAACTCTTAAACTTTGAGGGAGTTGAAGTTACTCTCCTCTCTTAAAGCTCAAATCGTGACTTAAATACTTGACTGACACGGGTGATAGACCAATAATTACACATGTTTTTACCCCTATTCTTGAGCTGTTTGAGATGTCGATTCCCGCATTTTAGGCCGATTTCACGCTAGGTTGTTCGTGTTTGTGATATTTCAGGTCCTAGCACATGAACGAAGGTCTGGGAACGAGTTCAGGGTCGATTGGACGAAGATTGGGCAATTGGTGAGAAGCTGGGAAGCCACACGTGCACCATTGCACCTCACACGGCCGTGTAGGGACCCCTTGTGGCCGTGTGAAGGCTCGGTAAAAGCCACACGGGCAGCCTGGGGAGCCACACGGCCGTGTGGCCTCTGCCCGTGCAGCTTGCCTAGTTGCCCACTAATCGAAACGCTGCATTTGGACACTCACACGGGCAGCTGGGAAAGTCACATGGTCGTGTGGCCTGGCCGTGTGAGTCGGGAATTTCTGGTTTTAAGCCAATTTCGAGCCAAAGGAGAGGGAGAGCTGGGTTTTGGTTCCCAAACACCCAAGGGACGAACCCTAGAAAGAGAGAGCGACTTGGGAACATTCTTGGAGCTTATTTGGAGGATTTCTTCGCCATTGGAGCTCGGGAATCAAGCTTGGAGATGGAGATTGAAGATCTAGATCAGATTTCTGCAGTCTCTCTCTTCTCTATGGAGTAACTTCCCTTCACTTAGGTTTTGAGGAACCCTAGTTCCATGTGTTAGGATCTTTCTTGTATGAAGTTTTGGATGCTATATTGTTTGATTATAATCGATTGAGGCATTATTTATTGAGTCAATTGAAGCATGATCATCTTCTCTTGAATTCATTCCAGTAGTGGAGATCTGTGTGAATCGCCTTAGCAGTCTATCCCGGTGAAGGCGAGTCGCCTGCCGGGTATTCTGTCTAAAAGGGCTTGATCAGCTTAAGAGATTCCAAGCTAATTTAGGATCTTCCGCAGTTTAATCAACAGTAGATCAACTAAAAGGTAATTGCAACTTGGACCTAATTGAGGAGCTAGGGGGAATCATACCTAAGTGAGTTCCCAACTTGTAATTAGTAGAGTAGTTAGTAGAGTAGTTTAGTAAATCAATCCTTAATCTAGTTTGCTAGATAATGAACATAAGCTGAGTAATAGTAACTCTAGAGACCCGTGGATTCGATATTTATTACTTGTGCCACTATACTACAGTCCTTTTCATTGGTTACACTTGGCCATTGTTAGGTGTTGTGTCGTAGCGTGTCAACGGGGATCCCTCACTAGCTAGTCCGGTTGCCAACTCATACGTATGAGGAGCCATTCAGGCTTCCCTTAAACTTAAACTTAGTTAGGGAAGTCGTAACGATTCATCCCCCTAACATCTTAAACTTATCATGGTGGCTCTTCACCACGATTCTCAAGAGCATAACTGCTGCTCAACTTAAATATCTCAAGAGCATAACTGCTACTCTGTCTCAAAGATCTCAAGAGCATAACTGCTGCTCTCTCAAAGATCTCAAGAGCATAACTGCTGCTCTATCTCAAAATCTCAAATGGCAAAGGACTAGCGCTAGCGACTAAACACACTTGAAACGACTTCACCTTCTTGAAGGTGAATTACTTCTTAAAAAGAACTTGTTTCTTAAACTTTAACTTACTTGTAAGTAAAGCACAGAACAACATAAAACTGATAGCATAAATCACATAAATCATATGAAATCATATAAGCATGCAAGGGCAAGTACGACACATAACAGTCAAATCTCAAAAACTTAAATACCGTAAGGCGTAGAATTTACCCCCTTTACACTCACTTTAGTAATCAATCGATAATTCTTGATCATCATTAAGGTTGATTGCCCTTGTGACCTCTTTCTTATTGGGTCACCATTCCATCGTCATTCCTTCTGTCGTAGCTAGACCTTCTAATCATTGGGAACGCTAACGAGCACTACCAGCTACATTTTTATTTACATCCAAACCACATGCACATCTGGGAGGCCATAATCAAGTCCACCTTCGGCCACCTCCAATAGACATGTTCAACTTCTTTCCAACGTGTACAATTTCCATACCTGAAAATTTGGCATCGTGAGTGGCGGAGAGCACTTCTTTCTTCTCGTCCAAACAATAACCCCTTCACAAGTGGACAAAGGATCACTTGGTCCAATTAATTCCCTAATCCCATGAAACCCTTTAGTTAACGTACGTGAGGAAATGATTTGCTTACCTACAATCCAAGTTCTCATCACCGTCATATCGTCCACAATCGGTTAGTCTCTCCAGACGTTGCCGCCATGACAGCAATACTCAAAGGCTACAGCACCACCACCAGCCTATGTCATGTCCTCCTCTCGGTCTCTATTTTAGTTCATTGGTGACGTTGGTGTTTGCGCGCTGGAAGAAGAAGGATGGTGGGATCTGCCGCTCTGGAGGTTTTCTCATCGGCCTCTCTAGAGCTAGGATTGGTTTAGGGTTTTTCTTTTAGTGAATCGGGATGGGTTTTTGGCGGGGGGGGGGGGGGGGGGGGTGATGGGGAAAGGACAATGAGGGCCGAGCGCCCTCTTGGCCAGCTTTTCCTTTTTTTATAATAATAATAATAATAGTTATTATTATTATTATTCCTAATCTGCGGTTGCAATCCTTAGTACGTAACCGTTAATCCAACCGTTCACGTATTATGGTCGAACCTGAACCCAAAGGTCGAGGTGTAACAGGTTAACCACCATCCCATCCACCAAGAGGGATCGATAATGGTTTGTCCTTGGCTTGGCAAAGAGCCGCAACTGGATTCTTATCCAAAAGTGCACCAAGGTCGGGTGGACTCCATTTACTCTTTCGACTTCATCTTGAACCTCTCTGCTTTTTTCTTCATAACTTGATTCCTCTGTTTGGGAACAGCCATCCTCCTCTTTGACGTTCACTCTCCTTTCCATCACCTATCCCTAGTTAGGTAACCCTGTTTAGAGGGCCCTTGGGAATACAACCTCGATCACCACTTTACTACTTCGCCAACTTAGGGTATACTTGACCTAGGTTGGGAAGATAGAGAGTATTAGCCGAGTTTTAGAACTTGGTCCTGAAAAAATGCATCACTAAGCGAAGAACCAAGAACTTTCAAACTCAAAAATATGTCAAGGAACCTAATTCCTGAAGAATGAAATGTGTATGAAGACTAGTAGCGAGAGCATGATGCCAGCAGAATCACTTCCCATAGCGACCATATCATCAACATCAATAGAGAAACAAGACTAGCTTAAGAAGATCGTAGAAACAATGAAGGTTAATTAGGATTCTGCTAGAATCCCAAACGAATAATAGTAATGTGAAACTTTTCAAACCAAGCGTGTTTCGCCTAATTTAGGCTATATAGTGGTCGATGAAGAAGACAAACATCACCAACTGATCAAAGTGGACAGCTAGGAAGTCCATCCATGTAAACCACCTTCTTCAAATCACCTTGATGGAAAACATTGTGAAAATCAAGTTGCAGAAGAAGCCAATTACGCAAGTCGGAAACCACAAGCAAGTACGACTGTGTTAATTTTGGCAATAGTACAAAAGTCTCATCAACTTGTGTTCAACCTTTTGATATTTCTAGTCTACTTCAGGGAAGTTGTGGCTGCTTTATGAGGTTTTTTTTATCTCATTTAAGAAACTTGTAGTTCATTTTATGAGGATTTTGGTGTGCTTCATAAAACTTTTGGTTTGCTTTATGAGGTTTCTGGTATTCTTTAACAAACTTGTGGTTAGCTATATGAGGTTTCTGATGTTTATAGCGAACTTGTGGTATGTTTAATGATGTTTTTGGAGATCTTTAAGAAACTTGTACGTGGTCAAATTTGATTTTATCGATATGCTTTATGGATTTTGTGATGTGGTAAAGTTCTGGTATGCTTTATAAGCTTCTGGTCTACTTTATGTTATTTTGTTGAGTGGTTTGTTGTGTTTCTGGTATGTGTTTTCTTGTCAGCATTGTGATCCTTATTGTCAAGACGAGATGCGATATAAATAATTAGTGCCACACACGTGCTCCCCTTATAATTTTAAAAAATGACAAGTGTGTCATTCTCTTTAATTGTCATCCCCTTAATAATAAAAAGGTCATCAAAACAAAATTTTCCTATTGGTTGGAGCTACTATTAGCACCACGGTAACAAAATTAAGTACTAGCACCATAATCTAAGCACATTATATATACAAAAGGACGAATGCAATCAAAAGTGTGATTCTACATAGAAATATTTTGATGATGCGTTAATGCGTAATCTTTGAAGCAGAATTTTGACTACATTAGTAAGGAAAAAGAGTGATTATACGTAAAAACAATTTGAAGCATAAGGTTTGAAGTTTTAAAGAGCAATTTTGAATACATTGCAAAGGCTTAAGAGAAATGAAAGAGCTTAGCAGTTGGCAAAAGGTTACTTGTTGAATTCTCCATAACTCCTCTTTCTTCAACTCTGAATTAAATTGGATCAGCAAGTGTAATTCCATCCCACTTACATTTTATATGTGGAACTTCTTTTAATATTTAAGTTCCATATATTTTTAAAGAGGAGTAGAAAGGGATTAAAAATCTAAATCTAATCTTATATAATATAAGTCATATGCTTATGTTTCTTTATTTTCAAAGCGGATTCAATTCAATCTAAATCGGGCAAACATTAGAAAACAATAAAAGTGTGTGGGAGTATTGACCGATTCTAAAGGAAAATTCGTGATCTTACATCAACATTTCCCATTAGTCATCCACATATTGAATTAGCCAATATCATATTCTATATCTTACCTTTTCCTTTGGAACTTCCCACAACTATAAATACTCTAAAAAAGTCCAAGCCTTTAACTAACACACTAAATAACAATCTCATAAAATCTAAACTTCGAATCTTGTAACCTCGTAAACATAAAGATGAAGGGAGTTTGCCTTTCATTGTTTGTTTCTCTGGTCTTCTTCCAGGCTTTAAACTTAGCAAGTAAGTGCACATTTCCAGTTTCTGATGTGTATATTCTTCGAATCACATTAGAGGAACTAAAAAATAAGTCTCTATTAAAGAAGGGTAGAGAAAAGCATCAAATCAACATATATTCATTCCATCTACCCAAATAAGAGGAAATAATTTGTTTTTAGATCAGTATAATAATTTTATAAATAAGTTTCTTGGGCAGCAACTGTGAAAACGATAACTAACGTATAATAAATCAATAATCCTATTTCTTAGTGTTGTTTATGTGGATTTGTATTTGTATTTGGCAGATGGACAAGCAAGACTATTTTGGTGTGTACCGCTTCCAGGAGTGCCAGATGCGCAATTGCAAGCAAATCTTGATTATGCATGTGGGCGGCCAGATGTTGACTGCGGGCCGATCCAACCAGGAGGTGCCTGTTATGAACCCAACACAGTTGCCTCTCACGCAGCTTTCGCCATGAATCTCTATTACCAGATTCATGGTACTAGAGCCGACTGCGATTTTTCCGGCACTGCTAACTTCACAAACACAGATCCTAGTAAGTTTTCATCCATACATATCTATGTACGGTCTCTATAGCATTTTTTTTTTTTTCATTGTTTGTTTGCCCTAAGTTTTCATCCATACATATCTATAGCATTTTCTCATTTTCACATTATTAGTAAGTCAAATTTTGGATATAGCATTTTTTTCTTCACTCACCAGGTGTGTATCAAATTGATTTCTCAAAAAAAATTCTTCGACAAATTTCAGGTTATGGTGCTTGCAAGTACGTTAACGCAATTGGAGGAAAACTATGATCCAAGCTGCCTGATATTGAAATTTCCATCAGTCCTTTTGGTTATAAAGCATGAGTATCAGTTTATTACTTCTTAACAAGTGGTCGCGGTTGACTTTCTTTCAAAAAATATATTAAAGAGGTTGAATTAAGATTTCTAAGAGGACAGTAATGTTGTAGCTTCTGAAATAATCAATGAACTTTTATAGAATACTACCTTAACTGGGCGAGAGGATGTTCCATATATATATTCTCATCTTGAATTACTGGATTACATGACACAATATTAACCTACATCACCACTCTTGAATTGATATTGTTGTAGTTCATGGTAACTAGATAGGATATGATGGGAAACATTGAGCCCAACTTGGTTATAGCACTACATAAATATTTTTGTCTTCTCATGACAATAATTTTTGTTGGGTTTATATCAATGTGGGGGAGAATGAAAGCAAATTTCGTTCATTTTCGTAAATAATATAGTCACCTTCACAAAAATATAAATTTTTCATAAAAATTCGTAAGATGAACTATCAAAACATCAGATTTACATGGTGACAACCAACCCTCTCCTCAAGTTGCGGATAGTAGATTTCTCAGTCGCAACAGTCACCTTGTTGACGAAGAATTCTCGTATCACCCTTCATATGAGGTATCCTCATAGACAAAATAGAATAATGGTATTTGACAAGATATGGGAATCGTGAGGGACACGTAGATGGTTTGGTCATCTTTGGATCGATTCTACAGCTCATCTCGAGAAATCGTAAAGCCTCTCACACAAACAAGGAATTAAAATACTCGTATATAATCCACAATCAATAGTTATAAAGTCTAAAGAACCTCTAGAGTTTGAAAACATACACAACTACAAACTAACCGCTCGTGCATGTGGAAAATATTTTAGTAGAATAACATTCATATAAGAGATTCCAAAACTCCTGAAAATCGGCTCCCAAAAGGTAAAGTAGCGCCAAGGACATCAATTCTGTCACTGATGTACCCTTGAGGATTTGGTTCTTTTCTGGGTTGGAGAGTTTCTCTATTGGCATAGTGACCTCTAATGTTACTTGATTCTCGGCTCCTACCCAAGGGGATCTATTTATACGCTCTTCTATCAGGCTTTTTGGGAGAGAAAGTGTGGGGAAAATCCTTCGGCCAAATCCTTTAGGTGTATCTCCAATTTATCCTCCAAGTATAGCATATTCTCCTAAATTAATTTGGGCTAATTTGTGACTCCCCATAATTGGCACCTAGCACCAATTTGGCCTCCAGCTGACTAATTCTATGCCAAATTTTGAGCTTCGCTCCAATCTCTGTTTTTTCCACGTCAACGATCTATTTTTGTTGCAACAACCAATCACATTGCTCAGACATGATTATCGTTAATCGATTACCCAACATGATCTGATGCCAAATCGCCCACTAAGTCAGAGATCCAACGTGATTGCATTTTCCGAAAGAAATCTTATCTAAATTGTTTCTGTTGGACACAATTTAGTTTTTGATCGCTTTTGTTAAGCGCGATCTGGGGAAAACATGTGATGTTGATAAATTTTTATAAAAACTATTATAGTTTTGTAATTTTTTAATAACATGAGTATTTAGGAAAAATTCCCTTTTTGTTTTGCAAGTTTGGTGCTGTAAAAACAATCCATATTAACTCGACACATGGTATATCCAGACTCTATCATAATAATTCCTTGTAGCAGACTCTTGCGAACAACTCATGAATTGATGATGCTAGTTTTCAAATATGTCGATGGGAAATATTGGACCGAACCTCTTTGTGGTCTTTTATTATTGTTGAACCTTTTTGTTATTTGCCTTTCTTTCCTTATGCCCACGTTGATAGTGGATGGGTATAAGCAGTAGTTTTACCTACTATGTGCAACCTTAAGCGAGAGGTATCAGTACCCGATCTTTGTAACCATCTCGGGCATAGTGAAACCCTATATTGAGAGCCATGCTCTCCGTAGACTAGTCCGGTATTGCGGGGAAACCACGTTAAACTTTGTGTTCTTTATTTTCCGCATCTTAGTTTCTTCATGCTATCAGAGCTGTAATCGATTCAACTTTGTTTGGTGATTTCTTGGCATGGCAAGGACGGGGGACCTAGAGACGACAAGGCTGTAGATGCTCTTGGTGACGGTGCAATATCGATCAGCTCTCCTCTCTACCTGCAACCCTCAGAAAATCCGCCGCAGTTTTTCGACGGGGACATGTTGAACGATCTGAATTATGGGGAATGGGTAAGTTATATTATCGAGACCCTCATCACGAAAAATAAGATGAACTTTGTTGATGGGACTTTCCCTCGCACCAAATTCAGCCCTGACCTCCACTAGGATGCTTGGGATCGTTGTGATGTGACTATGAAAGGTTGGCTCAAAACGACCATGACCCGCAAGTTGCGGAATAGCTTGTGCACCGCCACGACTACACAAGCCATATGGGCGGATTTGCAGTGTCGATTCAGCAAGGGGTATGCTCAATGCGCGTATGAATTGCGGCGCAACATCACTACCTTGCGTCAATAGAAAATGATAGTTAGTGCTTTTTACACTAAAATCCTCTCTTTTTGGGACGAGATGAACTCGATAGGGGGAGTTCCTCATTGTACGTGTGGTCGCTGTAAGTGTGAGGGTTGCTCGTGTGATTGGGTGTGTCTCTCTCAAGCCAAACAGGACACATAACACTTGTTTGAGTTCTTGATGGGGTTGGACGAAGCCTACTCGGTTATTAAATCTTAAATTCTTGGCACCAGGCCTACTCCAACGTTAGCTGATGCGTACCAAATGGTCTCCGCGGAAGAACAACACCGAAAAATCACCAGTACTCGTCGACCTGTAGTTAACACGACTTTTTTCAGGGGCAAGCTAGCATGAAGGTTGCAAAGATTCTCATGATGATACTTGCTATCGTCTCCATGGATATCCTGATGCAGCCTCGCCTATTCCCGGACTCTCGGCGATGTAATTAACCCAATTACGAGAGTTCTTGTCTACCGCTAATTCGCCTTCAGTTCCCACGGCACACATGGCAGGTAATTTCTCTGACTCTGATGAATGGTTGCTTAACTCCGGTTGTAGCGAACACATTGTTCGTGATCAATAGATGTTAGACTCGATATTTCCTAGTCTTGGCAGTTTGCAGGTTCGGATACCGAATGGAACTGGTATTCCCATCGAGGGCGCGGGTTCTGTTCAGCTCACCCATTTTATTCATCTTGATCGTGTTCTATACGTCCCGACATTCAAATGCAATCTCTTATCCATCAGGGGGTTGGTTCAGGATCATAATGTGATCGTCTCTTTTTTGTGTGATTTGTGCGTGGTTTAGGCCTTACCTACCAAGATGCCGATTGGAGTGGGTAAGCTTAGAGATGGACTTTACTACCTTCGCCGCTTTGAGGACATGGCAAAGGCTAGAGCATGTAAGGCAGCTTGGGTCCCACCCACATTGGATTTGTGGCATGCCCGTCTGGGGATGTAATGTGTCTCAAAAGAATTCAGCACCTTGTGATTCTTGTTTGCGTGCCAAGCAGACTCACACGCCTTTTCCCACAAGTTCTATTAAAACTAGTGGCTGCTTTGATTTGGTTCATGTCGATATTTGGGGGCGTATATGATGCCTTTCCTGGATGGATTACGTTATTTTTTAACGATTATGGATGATTTCAGTCGCTCTACCTGGTTTTATTTGCTGAAGTTTAAGTCTGATGTCGAACGGCATTTCAGGATGCTTTGTCAACTTGCTCTCACGCATACAGTCGTCCTATTCGATGCATTCAGACTGATAATGGTCTTGAATTCAGACAAAATCTCTCCACGACTATTATGAAGAACACGACATTCTCCTACAGACGTCCTGTACCGACACCCCGCAGCAGGAGGGTGTTGTGGAACGTAAACACAGTCATCTGTAGAGATGGCTCGTGCTCTTATGTTTCATGTAGGGTTACTAGTGCATTTTTGGGGAGAATGTGTTCTCACCGCAACATACTTGATTAATCCCCTGCCTTTGACTGCGATTTCGAGAAAGAAGCCTTTTGAGATTCTTTTGGGTCGGTCACCCACCTATGCTCATCTTTGCAGCTTTGGTTGTCTTGTCTATGCCAAAGATACTCACCACGACCTGGATAAATTTGCTGAACGTGGTCGACCTGACATTTTTGTTGGTTATCCTGGCAATATAAAGGTTATCGGGTATATGATCTTCAATCTAAGCTCATTCTTGTTTCCCTTGATGTTCAGTTTGTTGAGCATGTCTTCCCGTTCTTCTTGAAAGCTTCACTAGAGGGTTCTCTGTCCATGTCTGCTCCTCGTCGCGTGCATGGGGAGCATGGGGGTCTTGATTTCCACGTTATTGCCTCCTTCCCAGCTTATGAAGAGTTTTTTTTATCAATTAGGCACGTCCACCTCTCTCGTCGACATACCGCACCTAAGGATTATTGTTGAAACGGATACTCCTACTTCCAGCGAAGGTCATTCTTCGAATGACTCACTGTTGGCGCCAATGCATCCTTCCCTTGATAGTCTCAAGACATCGCCTAATGCTAAAACTCCTCCTATCGCTGACCTGCCTACTCCAGCGTCCTCACCACCCGTTGTTCCTCTGCGTAATTCCCACCAGGGTCGCCGACCTCCAACCAGTCTCGACGTGTATGAGGTAGACTTACCAAAATCCTCCTCTTTCGTTACCTTCTTCTTGCTCATTATGTTAATTGCCACCATTTTTCTGACACCCACCGTGCTTTTTTGCCGCGATGACTAAATTGGAAGAGCCTCGCACGTACGCTCAAGTTGTTCTACCTGAGTACTGGAGAGCATCTTTGCAACGTGAGATTGCAGCACTTGAGGCATAGGGAACCTGGACTCGGGAACCCCTTTCGACTGGGAAACAAGCCATTGACCCCAAATGTGTTTACAAAGTCAAGTACAACCCGGACGGCACTGTCGAGTGCTATAAAGCATTCTTGGTTGCCAAGGGGTTCACCGTCTGGATTCTTTTAGCTGTGGCTCATAAGAAAGGGTAGCATCTGCATCAGTTGGATGCCAACAACCCCTTCCTCAATGGAGATCGTGATGAGGAGGTCTACATGAAGGTGCCACAGGGGTTAGTTAAGGAGGGTGATCATCGTGTCTGCAGGCTCCGGAAATCACTCTATAGGCTCTGCCAGGCCTCTCAGAATTGTTATGCTAAGTTCATGGAGGCTTTATTGGATTTCGGCTTTGTTGTCTCTAAGAATGATTACTCTCTGTTTCTTTTTCAGGCACCGGGTGTTTCTTTGGTGGTTTTGATCGATGTTGATGATGTCGTCTTAAATAGGGATAGTCACGATCACATTGCTCGTGTCAAGGAGTATCTCCATCAGCATTATAGCATCAAGGATCTTGGGCTCCTCAAGTATTTTATGGGCTAGGTTGTGTTTGTTTGTGACATTTCAGGTCCTAGCAAGTGA